GAGAATCCAGAGAGACTCAGATTTCAGTGTGAAATGTCTGGATTCGAGCATGCTGGTAATTAAAACCATGTTTTTCAAAAGCAAGCGTGGGTCCAAGAAAAGCCTCTCATTTGCAAATCTGATTAGCAGCTCAGATATGGAAGGGACGCCCTCTCTCCACACCCACGTCCTGCCAGAAGGAGGTGTCTCCATTCAGAACCCCCTTGCCAAGTGCAGGCGGAATCCCCGGATCCGGGGCAGAGGCGTGGGGGAGGACGGACGAGGACGCTTCCTGGGTGGCGAAGGGCGCTCCAGGTGACTCGGGGGCCCCCGCAAAACCCGGCCGGAGCAAAGCCTACATTCTGGAAGTGGGGCGTAGAGAGAGGGTGGGGGGAATGACTGAAAATAAACGCGTGAACCCATGAAATAAGGGGATGGGAAATGCCACCGAGAAAGCAAAACCGAGGTAGGACAGAAAGACACGGTCAGGAGTGAGGGTTCTGTGCAGAGCAGGGTCAGCAAAGCCTTCTTAAAGGGGAGGCCCCAATGAAAGCCTTGTGCCAGTCTGGTCAGAAGAGCATTGCAGAAGAGGGAACAGCATGTGCAAAGGCCCTGGGGCTGAAGTAAGTTTGGCCTTTTTCTAGGAACAGAAAGAAGAGCAGGCAGCAGTGTGGGGCGAGGTTCCGGGATTGTTGAACTCAGGTGGTGACAGAGGTGGGGGCTGGGAGGTCAGGGCGTTGGCTGCTGTGGTGGGAGCAGCCATACCTGGGGGGAGGGTGGCAGCTCAGAGAGACTTTAAAAAGTCCCAGCCCCCAGCTGCCCCAGACATGGAGCAGGCTCAGAGACTGTTCTCGGAGGCCTATATGAGGGGCAGGGGACAGGGGACAGGGGACGGGGGCACTTCTCCTGGGGGCCAGGCGGGAGGACTGTGCCTGGTAAGCCGGTGCATAGTCGGGCCAGGAGGAAGGAGGAGCTAGAGGTTGCTGGTGTGTTGGGCAGAGTTAACACCTTCCAGAGTCTTCCTTATTATTCTAATAACCCGGGGATGGTGGCGGTTCCTCCCAGCAGGGCAGGACCCTGAGGTTCTGGGAAGAGCAGTGACTTGTCAAGGTCACCCAGCCAAGCCCCTGAAAACAATGAGTAACCGGGATGTTTTGCACCTGAGCCTTGAACAGCCATCTCCTGGCCATTCCCAGCCCCCAGATCAGGTCCCCCAGTCCCTCCCCCTTCTCTCGTTCTCCTGGGGGTGAGGGTTGGGATGGAAGGAAGAAGGAAATGTTTTCCCTAAAGTCAATGTTATTCATGAAAGTAGAGAAGGTGAATTATGTCCCACGGGAAGAGAGGGCTGGGGGCCAGGACCCCTGGGTCCGAGGGAGGAGGGGCTGGGGGTCTGGACTCCTGGGTCCGAGGGAGGAGGGGCTGGGGGCCTGGATTCCTGGGTCTGAGGGAAGAGGGGTTGGGGGCCTGGACTCC